CCTCTTCAACTTTGTTGAAGGGCTCTTTACTATTTGAGGCCATCTACTGCCCCTTTGCCTTTATCTCTCTTTTAGGGCTATTTTTGCATCATATTTTAGCCTTATTTGTGAGCATATTAGAGATTTTCCATAAACTGTAAAGTATCTTTTTTTGAGCCCCTCTTCAACTTTGTTGAAGGGCTTATTGCTGTTTGAGACCTTTTGCTGCCCTGTTTACTCAATCTCTCTTTTAGGGCTGTTTTTGCATGATACATTAGCCTTATTTGTGAGCCATTTTAGACCTCGACCTAAACTGAAAAAAATCTTGTTTTGATATCATCTTTATGTTTGATTAAGTTCTATTCTCTGTTTGGGGTCATATTCCCCTATGCATGCTTCATTCCTTCATGATTAAGGCTATGCATTAGAGCACTTGCATTGGCCATGGTTTGGCCTCTTAGCCATTGAAATCCAATGGATTTTCAGTGGCCTTGGCGCATTTTTGAGGGCCAAAATTAGAGGGGGGTGACCCCCTCTCTCCTTGTCTTGTTTGGAGATCTTTTAGGCCTTCCAAAGGGACCCTATTTTGCATGCATCGAAGTCACTTTCCAGGCCTCATTCTAAGGGTTTGAGGGCCCCACACCCATGTGAGACATTTGGTCATTTATTTGGTAGAAAATTTGGGACCTCTAGCATTTTCCTTTATAATGGGTAATGCTAAGGATACCAAATTTTCTACCAAACAAATGACCAAATGTCTCACATGGGTGTGGGGTCCGCAATTTTGTGGGCCCCACACCCATGTGAGACATTTGGTCATTTATTTGGTAGAAAATTTGGGACCTCTAGCATTTTCCATTTATAATTTAAAAAAAAAAAGATTTCCAATTTAAAGAAATTTTAATGTACTAAATTGAATAGACCCTAATGATTAGCAAATTTAATAACACACGTACCGGTCTAGAATTGGAATCAAATGAGGAAGAGACGAAGAGACACTATGTTGTTGGTCAACATCCATTGTGTTCTCATCACCACCATCATCTCGACCAGTCTTCTTAATCAACGGCTCTCCTTTCGTCTTTCCAAGTCTGAAGCTCAACCTCTTCCTCTTCCATTAAAATAACCCAGTCTTCTTGACCGTGTCCGATTGACTGTTTGAACGCATACCCAATTCGGACTCGGTCATTGAACTCACTTTAACACGGTGAGTCACCGCAATCAGCTCGTTCTCCAACATACCATTTGACTCGAACACAACTGACTCCTCCGAGTCATCCGAACTCACTTTCGCCTAACTCATTGATCCGGTCACCAACGACCCTCGCGAATTTTTAACATCCACAAAGCTCAAGCACACCTGCATATATTACATACAAATCAATTATATTAATATTTATTTTCTTATTAATTTTTTTATAAATTAATTGATGTGATATTTTAATGTGAAATTTTTTAAAGAATAAAATTATTAAATATCATTTTTTTTAATAGCTACGAACATGGTAATAATGAGTTGGTGAAGTAGGTGTTTGTGGCCTCATTTGTAAACAGGTTGAAAGTTATTTTTTTGATTTTTAATTTTTTTTAGTTATATTATTTTTTTTTATTTTTTTACATGTTTTTTAAAAAAATTAAAAAGTCAATTTTTTACCTATTTCCCTAAAAAAGTTAAAAAATCAACTTTTAATTTATGTATTGAATTGAATGAAGACTTTTAATTTATGTATTGAATTGAATGTGTAGTTTCATGTTTTTGTGAATGTATTTTAAAGTTAAATTTCATTTTAGATTAGACTTAAAATATCATATTAACCGTCACATAAAAAATATATTCTTATAGTGTTAGGGTTTGAATTTATTGTAGAAACGCGAATTATATACAGTGAAATATTTTGTATGTTACGTGATTGGCAATATGTTATTTTTAAGGGTGCTCGCGGTTCACTTGCGGCTTGAGAACCTCCAATTTGCCATCTGTTCAAAATTAGGTGGATTGAAGAAAATCAATCTGTAACTATCCGCCAAATTGGTAGATGCGGATTGAACGGATTGATGGATGGATGCGAATCGATTTTGTGGTTTACATTTTACCGATTTTAAACACAATAAAACTTGTTGACGTAATTTTTTTTGTTGGGATAACAGTCTGTGGGCATATATTTTCTGAGTACCAACACATGGCAAGGTGACGCCGACGTGTCAGCCGAGGTGCCACGTGTCTTGGTCGTTGTGCCGAGGTTATCTCGGCTAGGCCGAGGTTTCCTCCGAAGATATCGGAATCCGAGATAAGCGGATAAGGGGCAAGAGTCCTAGAATGAAGAGGGAACTCAACTTGGATAAGGACAAGAGTCCTAGATTGGGAGAAGACTTCAGTTTGGGTAAAGATAAGACTCTTAGAGAGTTTATCCTAAATCCACTGGGAGTTCCAGATTAGCAGTAATCCTAAGTCCATTAGGGCCAGGCTCCTATTGGGACTAGGATTGGATTGGCTATAAAAGAGAGGCACCCCCATGGGTCTAAGGTATGCTTTTGATACTCAAGCTTGTGAGTTTAGTACTTGATTATCTTTGAGAGATATACTGACTTGATCGTCGGAGTGCCCCCGGGTGGTCGAAACCACCGCGGGATTCTTATATTTCTGTTACAGGTCAGTCAGGTGCCATCTATTCTGCCAGTGCTCTCCAGCTGGTTACTAAGCGGGCAGTGTGGTCGGAAAATCACCCACACAATTTGGCGCCGTCTGTGGGAAAGAAAGAAGAATAGATGGCCAATGACGAACAGAAGGATCAGATTAGAGACAACGCTCCTGCTGGGAGTCGGAGACCTATCGATCTCGACGTTGACGGGGACAATAGCAACACAGAAACTCGTGACCAGAGTCACGGAGTGAAAGGAGCCGGCCAGGAAGGTGACGCACCAAAGACAACAGATCGAAGCAACAAAGAAGACCTCCGGGTATGGAGGGATAGATACCTGCGAAGGAACGAAGACCCTTCCAGAAGGGATGCAAAGACAAGGGGCATAAATGCTCCCAAGGAGATGACATTCAAGTATAGAAGAGCTCAGCCCAAGTGAGCAGATCCTAGATCTTGGATCCCGAATCCCAGAAGGCATGATCTCGGCCTAGATGAGTAGGTCCGAGAAGAGAAGAGTTCAACCTGAGAAAGCAAATCCAAGATTCCAGCAGACAAGACCTCGGCACTTGAGTCCGAGAAGAGAAGAGCACAATGAGCAGATCTCAGATCCCAGAAGATAAAAAGAAAACACACAAGATCAAACTAAAGTTGGCCAGAAGTATGCTAAGGCCGAGGAAGACATGCCGGGAACAAAGGCGTCGGAATAAGAAAAGAGAAACGGCTCGCCGATGCGGGGCCACGAATCAAACTCAGGTTGGAGCCCAGTAAGATCAATAGAGAAACCAAGGCCGACAACCTCGGCTTGAATTCAACCTCGGCGACAAGGTCGAAGCTACATGTATGATGAGAACCCAAGTGGATTTTAAGTTCACACTGGGGGCGTAGAAAAGAAGAATGCGTTTACCACTTGTTGAAATTTGTGGACAATTTACAAGTTGGTTAAACGAAGATGATGTTTAACCGAAGTTAAAACGAAGATGATGCTTAACCGAAATTAAGCCGAGATGATGCTTAACCGAAGTTAAGCCAAGATAATGCTTAACTGAAGTTAAGCCGAAGATGATGTTTAACCGAAGTTAAACCGAGATGATGCTTAACCGAAGTTAAGTTGAGATGATGCTTAACCGAAGTTAAGCCAAAGATGATGCTTAACCGAAGTTAAGCCGAGATAATGCTTAACCGAAGTTAAGCTGAAGATGATGTTTAACCGAAGTTAAACCGAGATGATACTTGACCGAAGTTAAGCCGAAGATGATGCTTAACCGAAGTTAAGCCGAGATGATGCTTAACCGAAGTTAAGCCAAAGATGATGCTTAACCGAAGTTAAGCCAAAGATGATGCTTAACCGAAGTTAAGCCAAAGATGATGCTTAACCGAAGTTAAGCCAAAGATGATGCTTAACCGAAGTTAAGCCAAAGATGATGCTTAACCGAAGTTAAGCCAAAGATGATGCTTAACCGAAGTTAAGCCAAAGATGATGCTTAACCGAAGTTAAGCCAAAGATGATGCTTAACCGAAGTTAAGCCAAAGATGATGCTTAACCGAAGTTAAGCCAAAGATGATGCTTAACCGAAGTTAAGCCAAAGATGATGCTTAACCGAAGTTAAGCCAAAGATGATGCTTAACCGAAGTTAAGCCAAAGATGATGCTTAACCGAAGTTAAGCCAAAGATGATGCTTAACCGAAGTTAAGCCAAAGATGATGCTTAACCGAAGTTAAGCCAAAGATGATGCTTAACCGAAGTTAAGCCAAAGATGATGCTTAACCGAAGTTAAGCCAAAGATGATGCTTAACCGAAGTTAAGCCAAAGATGATGCTTAACCGAAGTTAAGCCAAAGATGATGCTTAACCGAAGTTAAGCCAAAGATGATGCTTAACCGAAGTTAAGCCAAAGATGATGCTTAACCGAAGTTAAGCCAAAGATGATGCTTAACCGAAGTTAAGCCAAAGATGATGCTTAACCGAAGTTAAGCCAAAGATGATGCTTAACCGAAGTTAAGCCCAATTTTTTAGTTCAAAAAGACAAAAAGTGCACTTATTTAGTCTTCCCAAACTTGGCCTAAATCTCACATTTATATGAGAAATTTAATAAAAAATTTAATAAATTATTTAAAATTTATAATATTTTTCTTCTAAAAAATGAATCAACAAATCATCTACAAAAAAATTTTGATGGGTCGTTACACATATCAAAATTAGACACAAAACTACACCAAATTCTTTTAGAATAATGGCAAGTCCAGGTATCGATATACATGGACAATTGTGCAATTGAACTAATTTAATTGTTAAATTCCGTCCAGCTTCAAAATTAGATATCCATTCAAAAGGACTGCCTAAGTTACCCAATCGAGAAGTATATATAGATATATGACAATTATTAGTGAATTAAAAAGATCAAATTAAGAGCAAAACAAGAAAAACAATAGTAGTAATATGAGAATGTGTAGAAAGTACCTTGCTACCAAGCTCCTGAGATATGCCAAGAGCAAGAGCTGTCTTCCCGGTCCCAGGAGGTCCGGCAAGTAGAAGAGCCTTTCCAGCCATCTTCTTTTGGCGTATCATATCAACAACAAGCCCTGAAGCTTCTCTAGCTGAGGCCTGACCCACAAACCCAGCAGCCAAAGGTACTGCTTTTCCATTCGACTACAGCAGAATTATCATTAGAATCCAACAAAAATGTCATTATTTGTTTGATGAATCAAAAATAAACAAAAGTTAATCAAAGCAAGAGAATCACAATGGTTCGTCAAAAGGGTATATATTTGACCACTGAACAGACATAAAACTAAAATAAATATAAAAAAACCTAAATTCATAATCATATTTCAAATAAACAACGTAACCCTAAAACCCAAAACCCTGAATATAGAGAGAGAGAGAGAAGAAAAAAAAACCTAAATTCATAATCATATTTCAAACACCATCTCCTCGTCTAGAGAGAAAGAGAGATATGTAAGACAAGAAGAAGAAGAAGAAGAAGAAGAGAGAGAGCGAGAGAGAGAGAGAGAGAGTTGAGACGTACCTCAAGACCTAGGCCTTTGATGTGAGTGTGGGTAGCTATTCTCTGCTTCTTTGTTTGCGATTGTACCTCTTCTATCTTCATCCTCTCTCTCTCTCTCTTCTGTCTCTCTCTCTGAGGTTTTTACAGTAGCTTCTTCTTCTGTGCCTGCTGCGCAGAACAAAGCAATTTTAGACGAAAAATGGAGACCGACCCCATTTTTTAAGCCAAACCCTCGGGTTATAGTTTGGTTCTCCCACCGTTTACCCGTTTAATCCCATCACGACCCAAACAAATAAATCGCTCAAATTTACCCATGAAATCCTCTGGCACAGTTGGAAAGTGAAAGAAAAAGAATTTTGTTTTTGTATTTGTTTAGATAGAGATTTTTAGAAAGTAATAAAAATTAAAGGCTTCGTTTGGTTGTTTTAAAAACATAATTCTACACCTATATTTGAATATGATGTTTGAAAGGACTTTTGGAATCAGTTTTTCAAAACTCTGCAGAAAATTCTGTCTCAGACTCGATTTTCGGAATTTTTTTTTTTTTACAAATTTTGCCTAATCGGTCGTCCGGCCAGTTGACCAAAATAGTGATTTTTTTTTTTTTTTTTAAAAATTGATTTGTTAATTTTTTTATATTTAAAAAAAAAATTTTTAAAATTTTTTAAAATTTT